CAAAATGCATTTTGGAAGTTTAAATAGGTAAGGCCTCCCTGAACAGTCATTAAGAGTCTACAAAGGCTAACAAATCTGATTAAGTCATTTAAGCACAATCTCTCCTTTCTAAGTTTGAGCTGACTGCTTTTGACCAGTCTGGATCTGTACAACACATTTCAGTTTGTAAACAGCATTTGTTGCCAACACTAAGTTGAAATGCATAGATCTTAATTCTCCTTTCCCTAACTTAGGTTATCCTCTTCATCAGTACTTTATTGGTAGAGACAAGAAAAAATTAAAAAAAAAAATTATTTTGATGGCCATTATAGAAGAATATGCAACTGCATATTTTAACCATTTTTGCTAACTGAACTCCAGCTTTTCCCAGTATCATAATATTAGACTTCTTCACAGTAAAGATTTCCAATATTTACAATGCTTAGACAAACCTTAAGAGAAGGCTTTTTCCACAGTGAATCACAAACTGTGTATTTTGGGAAACAGCACTTCAAGGACAGATATAACGCACTAAGAAATTATGTGGGAAGACAAAAATCATTGATGTTTTCAGCTGCTGTGATACAGAGTGCTTCCAAAAAGTGTGGTAAAACCTACCAAGGAGCTCCTGCAGCCTCTTTTCCAGAAGAAAAGAAAAATGCTATTAGTGATATTTCTACATCTACTGAGTCAAGCAGTTATTTTAAATATTTGACAGAGATTTCCAGGAGTCTGTTAGATCTGAGATACATGCTTACACACAGGAGATAGAAAAAGTTAAGAACTAGGCTTACCTAAGAAAGAATGTTAGCTATAAGCCATTTTTTATATTTAATACATCCGTTGCTTGCTACATGTATTATTTCTTCCAGATGGAACAAATAGAAAACTTTCTTGTAATCATATTAGAGAACATTGATAAGATTCCTGAAACTAGTACTATTTATAATAATTAGAAGAAAATTGTGCGGTTAATGACAAACGGTCTTTTCTTTCTTCTGTTCATTTTGTTTCCTACCCCTGCCCCTTATACGCACACCCAGAAGTCTCTCTGCAGCTTTGGTCTCTTTCCTCAGCCCCTACTTTCCTGCCCTGAGAGGAGAGAGATAAGCTACCTGCTGCCCTCCAGCTTCACGCTACATTTTCTACCCTAGGCAGCTGCAAAAAAGGAGCCCACCCAGGCACGCAGGCTCTACTCCCCCTCCTCTACAGTCACCCTTTTAAGACCATCACTGAGGAGTGATGGATCAAGGCAGTGAGATACCCCTGAATCCAAGTACCCCATCTTGCAGGAATAATTAAATATATGCTGAATTAAACACAGCACACGTCAATCACTTTTGATATTTCAAGAAATCCATTCCTCTTTCATAGTCAACTGATGAATCCTGAAATGATGGCTGCGACAATAGCTGTCAGTTTAAAGTTCTCTTGATGTGAAACACATTGAACCCCCCCCAGAATTAAAAAAAGTCTGCCACAAAAACAACCCATTTTGTCTTCTTACTCTTATATGAGCACAGGGTGGGGAAAAAAAAAAAAGCTTATTAGCTTCTATTTTCTTGAGCAACTGTAACTAAGGCATAAATTCCTTTTTATTTTTAAATGAGGTGTATGTTTTATATTCAATGCACAAATAATTTTACTACATCCTTTGCATGCTCAATTTTCAGAATTAATTTTCTTGTTCAATTCTTCAGTTTTCCTTTGCCTGCTTCCGCTCCCCCAACCCCTTCCTTTCCACTTTTAATTGAAATGCAATTCTGTTGCCAGGTTCCACCACAACTTTACTTGACAGGTCTAGAGAGGCAGCTCCAGCACAGAACAGGAGCCAGTGCAAAGGGTGCTGTAAGTTCTGTGAACGTGAGCAGTTAGATGCTTAAGAAACGAAGGATATAAAGCCAGACAGGAGTACAAAAGAACCGAACAAACCCTATTGTACTGAAACTCTACACACCAGAAGACGGATGGATAGCTGTCAAACTTTTCATAGGTATACAAAAAAACATGGTTTTGCAGAAAGCATTACAATAACAAACTAGATGTTTACAAAAGTGAAAGGCAGTATGGGAGAAAGCAAAGTGTTTATTTGCAGGTACTTATCTAACAATTAGCTTTGGCTAATTCCAACTTTTGCCAAGAGCTTGCTGATAGCACTCAAGAGATGATCAACAGGCACAATCTACAGAAGCCCTTAAAAGTCACTCACTTTTTACGGAAGATGCAAAGGGATCAGAGCAGTGAGAGGAAACAAAGGGAAGGGTGATGCAGTCCAAGTAGCAGACTAGCAAAATTACCCATACAGATTCTGTGTAAAAGCAGGGCAATATTGCACTTCACAGCCAGAAATGAGATTTCAGCAAAACCACCAAAATGTAAAAATCAGAAGAGGATGGACAGACTATAAGTTACATTACCTTCCTGTTCAAGCACTTTGGAGATAGTACACAGACCATAGCATCAAGACCTAGACATAGCCTGGATGTGAAAGCTTGAAGGGAAAAAGGGGTCACGCACAGAAGTCAGTGATGATGCCCAGGTATGGAACTTGAACAACAGCCCCGGTATCACACAGCGGCTCTGTACGTATGGAGTTTGCCATTTCTAATGGATGTCAGACAGACAATTGATCTACTGAATCACTTAAGCTACCCGCATGTATTCTACATACTCTCCTGTTCTTTTTATTCATATCAAAACTACTGTGTTTTCTTAGTTCCACATTTCCTAGAAGCAAATGTGTTCTTCCACACTTTATCACACTACATTCAGAGCTTTTTACATATAGCTTTGTCCTTCCATATTGCAACCAGGGTTGTTCTGGTCCTTTTTCTGACAGGTGAAGGAATACAGAAAGTCATAATGTTAGCTCTAGCAGTGACAGATCAGACTCAGGTAAATTGCTGCAAAGTAAATTCTGACACTAGAAAGCAACCCCTGTTCTTGACCGAGCCAAAAGCAGCCAAAATTTGGGAAAAGGCACAGAAAGGACACACTAGACAACAGCTGCCAGGCTGAAATGAACAGTAAAGGGTAGACAGTAATCTTGCTTCTGACTGTACCAGGTACTCTGTAATATATTTCTTCTTCTTCACACTTTAGTTCTACCACAGGAAATCTACGCTCTAAACAAATGACAGGTTTGCAGCATTTAATCCTATTCACTTCAATCAATCCGTCCAAGGATGATCTAATCTAAGCTAATGACCATCCAAATAAAAAGTTCCTCTCCTCTCTCAGCCCACCGTCTAGGTTCTTGGCTCACAGCTGCAAGCTCTTCCCCTTCCCTAACCTTTAACCACAGCTTTGGGGCTCACTGGACTTCATCATGACCAAGTTCAATCTACTAACAGGATGGCAAACTCATCCAACAACACCAGAGTATTTTCTTTCCAGGTTAGTGATTGGAAGTGGCTTAGTCACTACTAGTACTGCAAGCACCTCAATAAAGGAAGCAGAGGAACCACATAGCTAAGAGCTGGGAAAAACAAGGCTTTTCATTTCAATGACAGTGGGCTCTCTTCACAGGACTTGCTGTTTCACGGGATAATTCAACTGAAAAAGCAGCACTACTTGTCACAAGAACCACTTCATGATCCAGCACAACTCACTGCAGCAGAGTAACACCTTGCTCCATCTTGCAGGGGCTTCCCTACCATGTTGATAAGCCAGAGTTGCAGTTTCCTCTCAGTGGCACATGGAACCATTGAACTTGCAAATCTACTTCAAGCTTCATGGTTCGTAGTCACTATTTCAGACTTACCATACTCTTTACACTATCATAATCATTTCCTAGTACACATTTATGACTGCAAATGCCCTCTTCCCTATCAATGAACTACAGAATAATCAAAAAGCTTCCAGTGTAGAGACCTTGTGTTTATTTTAGATACAAGCAAGTGACAAATGACTGTAATGAACTAACAATTTCACTACCTCAAATCCAGACTTAGTACAGATTAAGCTCATTATTATTGCAATTTGATACATAATCTAATGAAACCAACATACATGTGGCAATATTAAAACCAGACATATGGAATGAACCAGTTCATATGAAAACAGAGATGTGTTTATATACCATTGAGTGGTTAAAATAGTGATTAGCACTCATTCAATACTCCCATTTCACATTAGCAATAAGTAAAGCAACTACAGAGGGCCTCATTTGACCTTAACTGTTAAGGACCTTATGTCAACATTTGTATAATCACGCTACTGCCCTGTTCTGACATATTAAGATAAAAGCTAGAAGTACCTCAAATAATGAGATCTTTATTTTTAATTACCCAGTGCCTTTAGGCAGAAATTACAATTAAAAAGACTACAAAAGAAATCTGGTTGACCTCCAGTTATTTCAATACTTGAGAGAACCAAGGGTTTGGAGTAAGTGATAGCCATTCAGTTCCTAACAGATGTAACTTATGCATGCAGTCCTTTTTTATGCTTTTAATGGTCCTACGTCAATGCAACTTTATGAATCTGGAATGATGAAAGAATACAGAAATTTAATTTATAGTTAGTTTACAAATTAAACACAGCTTACTCCACCCTACAATTTTATGTATTTCTTTAAGAAGTTCCCTTCTACTAATATAATTTTTTGGATTCTACATGATTATTTTTCAAAGAACAAAAAGTGAAGTCAACTGCTTTAAAGGCAATGCTAGTCTTAGAAGATGCTTTCATGTGTATGTGTATATATTTGCTTTTAAGAACAGAGTGTGCCTTTTTCTATTATACACACACACTCTTCCCCCCCTCCACACCTAAAAAGAATGCTTTACATTTCAATTGCACCAACATAACTATTAGACCATGCCACTGATCTTCCCCTACAGATGTGTATCAGGAATCCCACACAGTTCCCTTCTATCTCCAGGGGAAGAGTTAAGTTTCTAATACACAAGGAGAATATTCTCTTCTACTACAGATATTCTCAGTTTTAATGTAAGATGCTTCATATAAGATTAAGACAACACACCATTAATCTAACCACATTGATTTGAATATAAACTTACCTCTAAATATATCGATGGTGGGTTATGCTCTCCTCCAAATTTGTCTAGCAGTGCCTCTATATGTTCTTGTGTTAATTTAATCATTTGTTTGATATTCCACACCTAAAACAGAAAGTTAAAATTTTTTATAATCAAAAGGAGCCTAGAGAATCTGTCTTAAAACAAAAAAAAATCCATTTTCTTGGTATTAAATAACAGAAGTCCGTAATAAAAGTATTTTAATTATCAGTAAAAGAGTGCACAAAGTCATCCTGTTCATCCACTGCTGGTAATACACAGCTTACTTCTGATATAAACAGAGAAAAATTAAATCTAGTTTTAAAATTCAAGAACCATTGAATAAACTTTTAAGAATGGTTTATTTTTCATGTTTATCAAAATAATATTAAGTATTTTCCTTGCAAGACTTTGCAGCCCCATTTCTACAGTATTATAAAGTTTAGTGAAGGAGTTCTATCAAACCTTAAGTAATCTGTGTAAACAACATTCACAAAACCTAGATCTAGTGTTTTATTTGCATGGGAATAGGATGTCTTGATCTTAAAGAGCACCTTCTATACCGTCTTCTATACTTGGTCTACCCTCCAAGTTTTCTTACACACCTTGGACGCAATCTGAAAAAGACATTTACCTCTAGTGCACAGAGAAGACTAGGCACTGTACTATGAAACAACTCAGGTTGGTAGTCATTCTTCACAACATCTTGAAAGAGTTAATTTTAGTACTTTAAGACCATTGTAGGGGAACAGTATTATAAACCCTAATTTATACCTAAAAAGGCAGCGACGCACAAGCCCAAACACTTAAAGCAATAATGCTACACTGATTTAAGGAGCTACTTCAGCCCAATCAAAGTCAGAAATTTATAGTGGGGGAAGAGGGAGGAAGAGAGGAGACTGTCATCTTCATAGGTATTGTTATTCAGACTATTTCTCAGGAAAAAATTATTATGTCAGAGTTATTAGGCTCACAATGAAAGAAATGAAGATAGTATAAAAAGTGCTTCTTACAAAGTTATTTTAAAGATACCCTTTACCTTTTCCAGTTTCAACTCTCTTCTACTTCACAGATTATAATATATACAGCCTCAACCAGGTCTGCATTTACAAATTGTGACAACCTACCTCTTTAAAAAGAAGATGCAAATAACTTCATATTCTAAAGTAGGCACCAATAGTAGGATCCAATCCAAGTTGGATCAAAACAAGTTTTACCATGTAACTTGAGAAGTTCACAAAGAAACAAGCTCTAAAACACAGAACTCACATTTTGCACACCACCTTATTTGCCCCTTCTAATTCTAGACATCAGTTATTTGCCAGCAATTTCCTAAAGTAAACTAATAATCGATTCACTTCTAGCCCAAGTTTTAGAACAGATACCAGAACAAAGATTTCATCAAATATGAAAATAGTTTGCTCAGGAACAAGCAACCCAAACTACAAAGAGTGAGGGGAGCAGGGGGACACACTGAACAAAGACAGTGCTATTCGCATATTCTGTACGTAAATTCCCTTGAGGCAAATGTGGAAGTCAGCTTGCTTCTCAACTTGCAATCAATTTATCATGTTGAAGCTTGGACTGCCAACCAGCAGCAAAGAGAAGGATTTCTGTATTTTGCTAGTTTTTCCCAAGATGGCAAGGACTAGTTGTATGCTTGGTGAAAAGAACAAGCTTGAATCAACACTAGAATTAATCGGTTCACTGTAAGAGTTTAGGATCTTTAGTTACTGTGTAACTGGTAACTTGCTGTTAACCTGGGTGCGTATACAGAAAATTTCTGGCAAACTAAGAAATCATTTCAGGATTACCTTCAGAAACAGGTTTCATTAGTACTTAACACAACTTCTGTCATTTGGTCATTCTGGTAATTTCACCCACCAAAAGTTTTCCTCAACGTGTACTGTACCAGAACCAGTATCAACAATTTACTATACTTAAATGCCTGGCAATGGGGAAGGTGGGGAGGGAAGATGCTTCACTGACAAAGTAACCCAGAATCACAGAAGGGTTGAGGTTGGAAAGGACCTCTGGAGGTCATCTGGTCCAACCCCCTCCTCAAGCAGGAGGGACCACGTCCAGATGGCTTTTGAGTATCTCCAAGGATGGAGACTCCACAGCCTCCCTGAGCAACTTGTCTTCCTTTCACCAACCCTTAATGATCTTTCTGGCCCTTCACTGGACTTCACTCTCCAGTACAGCCATATGCCTCTTGTACTGGGAAGCCTGGAACTGGACACAGCACTCCAGGTGTGGCCTCACCAGGGCCGAGTAGAATGAACTGTCAGGTAAGTTTCCCAATACTTTTTTAAAGATTGATAATGAATAGCTTCCTTGCTCGTACATTATTTTCTATTTTGTGTCCATAACCACAACCTTGCTTCTCTCTTCTCTTACAGTAAAGACACTGAATAACAAACATAACTGAGCAACAGCAATATGCACAACGGAAGCATGTTATTTAGGAGATGTTGGAAAGAGAATCAAACAGCCTCTAACAAGGGCAGAAATCTTCCTGCTAAGTTAATATCATGACAAGAGCAAAAACTGAGTGACAAATGAAGAAAATTTAAACATAAAAAAAATAATTAAAAAAAAATTCAAACTTACTGCCAGCTGCCAGGCTATGGTAAAAAATGTCTTCACCTGAAGAAGCTGAAATTAAAGTCTAATGGAAGACAACATTGCTCAGAAGAGCTGAAAACAGTGCCCTGAATTACTTACTATACATCTGTGCACTACACCAAGAGCCTTTCCACAAGTGAATCTTACAGCCAAACTTAATATGGATTTCTATCATCTTAGAAAGGCTATTCACACAGTTAAAAGTACGCTGAAGGCAGAAGGAAATTTATCAAAGTCAACCATCGCACCAAATCATTACTTGTTGCTCACAGAAATGGAAAACCTATTTTGTGTGCCATATTCATCAAAAGTCTTCTGACAAGCTGAAAAAACTTTCACAAATCTAGTATTGACTAGCATATTCTATCCCTAATCAAGTACGCACAAGAACACAGATGCCATGGCAAATTTCCAAGCTTCACAGCTTCCCTTTATGTGGCAACTTCTACTTATTTTCACTTATAGAAAACTTACCTTCTGGCTTCCCATATCAGTGAATATACTTATACAGTTTTTTGTGGTCCAGAGCAACCCTTAACTAGCTAGCTCCTTGAGAATCAACCCCTGTGCAAATATATTGCATCCTACTATGCAGGATCTATGACTACTTCAATTCAATTGAAGGAACTCAAGCCTTTTCCTAACTGGAATTCGGAACTGGTGCTTTGTGCAAGTGACCTCATGCGACTTGAAAATGTCTGCTTCTGCACACCACAGTGCCCACAGCTTCTGCCTCACAAAAAATACACCATACCTGCTGCACTTACACAGCCAGCAGAGCCAGCAACTTCAGCCTGTCTTTTCTCCTTGCAGACTTGCCTGTTCAGATAACTCATCTCAGCTAAGTTTGCATCATGTGCACCAGCCCAGCCTTACAGGCTTTGAGCAAGACATATCCCCATCATCTCTGTGGAAAAAACCTGAAACACTAGGTCTTAAGAATTAAATCTCTTGAGTTCAGTAGCACTCACAGACATACAGGTTTCTTTCAACTGTCCAAATAAAACCTAAGTGTACAAAAATTGCCTAAGATTTTAGTAAGTGTCTCATTCCCCATAAGGACATGCATTCCAGGACAGCAGCAAAGAACAACCTAACAGCAGAGATGGCAAAAACATGAAATATGGAATCCTTTTAGCAATCAGTTCTGGACCAAAGAGCTTGTTCCTAGACAACAGAATAAAACCAAGTTTTTCAAGTTAAATGCATACACACTAATACCATTCCTTCCGCAAGATCTCACAGTAATCCCTTTATCCACACTTTATTCACACTTTCCTCTAGAAGTAAAAGGAAACCTGCTGGTCATTAAGAAAAAACAGACCTACTTTTTGTTACTCTTATGAGCACTCCATTACACTTATAAAACTCCACACCTGTAGAAAACCATAAAACCACAACTGCCAAGCATCTTGCAGAAAAATGAAAATCAATGCCAGCCTAAGAGACAGTTGCTAGAAATCTTAATGTATTCTGAAGTAAGTCTGCAATGCACCTAGTACTGTCCACATGCAAGTCCAGTCCCTTCCCACAGGAAGGGGCATGGCTATTTGAGACTGTCCTGGTTTAACCCCCGCCAGCAACCAAGCCCCAAGCTGCCGCTCTCTCACTCCCCCACGGTGGGATGGGGGAGAGAATCGAAAGGGTAGAAGTGAGAAAACTCATGGGCTGAGATAAAGGCAGTTTAATAGGTAAAGCAAAAGCCATGCACACAAGCAAAGCAAAACCAGGAATCCACTCCCCACTTCCCATGGGCAGGCGGTGTTCAGCCATCTCCAGGACAGCCGGGCTCCATCACGCCTAACGGGGACTTGGGAAGACAAACGCCATCGCTCCGAACGTCCCCCTTTCCTTCTTCTTCCCCAGCTTTCTATGCTGAGCATGACGTCCTATGGTCTGGGATATCCCTCGGGTCAGTTGGGGTCAGCTCTCCCGGCTGTGTCCCCTCCCAACTCCTTGTGCCCCCCCAGCCTCCTCGCTGGTGGGGTGGGGTGAGGAGCAGAACAACCCTTGGCTCTGGGTGAGCACTGCTCAGCAGGAGCGAAAATATCCCTGAATGACCAACACTGTTTTCAGCACAAATCCAAAATGTAGCCCCATACCAGCTACTGTGAAGAAAATTAACTCTACCCCAGCCAAAACCAGCATAGAGACACACTGTTTAATTGTAGTTCCGTGAAAAAGTAATGAATCCTTTAGAGCTTGGATAACCTTACCATTTTTCCAAAAAAAGCCTCAAATAAATTTTTCTGTCCTATCTGGTAGCATTAGGTTAAGGTTATTCTCCTTCACAAGAGATTAGATTTGATTCTCCTTTTAGTGCTGCTGACACAAGGAAGCTGACACAAGCTAACATGGACACAGGCAGCCAGAAGTCTGGAAACATTCCAGATATACTGGAATATATCAACTTGTATCTGCCTATTGTGGATAACCGTGCATTAATTTTGCAAATAAGCACTCCCTTGCAATGTAATAAAGATGATGACCTATTTCAAGCCAGAGGCAAGTCAGATACAGTAGAAGCCTAAATCCATTCTATTCAGGGAAGACTATGGCTCCACAAATGCAAGGCTATAAGCCACAAAGTTATTTTCACATCCTTTGCTGCTTGTCAAAATACACAGTGCCTGAGACAGCACAAAGCAAACTATCTTTTATACTTTTTGCACCTGGCATCAGTACTTAAATCTTGCAGCTCATCCCAACTCTAAGCTGTCTGATTTACATTTGGTAGAAGACATCCAAAAATTCAAATCTATTCTGTAAAGAAAAAAAAGCCATTATTTGTCCAGGCACAGTATTTCCTGCATTTGGATTATCGCACTTGGTGATGATGGAGAATACTTTGATAGAACCAACTAGGTAATTTGAAAAAAAAATTTAAAAAAAAATATTCACCATTTGACTTGGAAACTGTTTTATAAGTAGGACAAAATCATCAATACCTATCCAATACTATTCTAATCAGTCCCTTCAGGCTTCTTTCATACATAAGCACTTCAGTTGTTTGGTCCACTGAGCTAGGATACACTTTGTCAGAAAATGCTTCAGAAAGCTGTCATGTAT